TTCCGATCTCCCCAAAACCCCAAAACCCCTAGAGTTAGAAATTAAAAACATTAAAAGTTAGAAATATTAAAATCAATGGATAAGAGAAGACTTTAAAAAGTTGAAAACGAGCTTCAAATCGAATAAGAGAAGATCACTATTGAAGATGTGATTAACTCAAAAAGAGTGAACAATCTTTTGCTAGACAAAGCCGAAGAGCTCTTTACCTTAGAATTCAATCTCAAATAGAAGGCTTAGCTCAAGTATTTGCAAATTAAACAGAAAAAGGGCAAAAGAAATGTAATGTTCATGGACTAATTAACACATGAGTACTTATGGAGTCCTACCCCTGCTTACTATGTTGGAACATTCTTTAGTTTCCTTTACATCAAAAGAAAATTCAAACTTAATTTCTTTGCAATTATCCCATTCATGACAATACCTATTACTATGGACTATATTAGTAAGTTTCATATAAAGTTTATTTTCTTGTAGAAAGAGAATTCTATGTTAGCAGTATTGTTGAAGAGAAGAAAAAACTAAGACAGGTTAGAAAGATTGTAGATAACATTGTGCAGGAGAAGAAAAGACATGTAACTTTTGAGCAGGTTTTCAGATACTGCTTCAAAGTCAACTTTGACAAACCAATTGATGAAAGACCCTATCTACCAATAGGCTTTGACTGAATAAAGCATTTCTTTGAAATATTGCGGAATGAGATTAATTAAGTGCTTAGTGATTGAATGTCTGTAATTATTAATTATTGTTTTATATATTATTTATTCAAAAGTCGAATTATTAATGGAAAAGTCTTCAAGTTTGCAAAAGGATAATATGGGATACTTAATGCCTAAGAGCTCTAGTATAGCCTATGATGGAAACTCAAGTAATGGAGATTAAGACTAACAGAAACAAACTAAAAGAGGATCAAAGGCCAGTAGTCGACTAGACCCGAATGAGGAAAAGAACAGAAAGTCAACACTGCAAAAGTTTTCAAAGGATGTATTTATACAGAAGTTGGAGATTATAGATTACGAGGAAAATGACGATCATGTTGAGTACTATATATAGGTCTAGGGAAGAACCAAATACCTTGTAAACCTCAACGACATTGCAGAAAACGGGATGATTGACTATCAAAAGGTGCACAAAATCCAGAATTCTGCTGAAAACCAGGAGTTTTAGATTGTCGAGTATTGCATTGTAAAGAGGTATTCGGAGTTACTCATATTTAGCAAGTTACTTCAGTCAGAGATCAAGAATTATATGAAGAAAAGAGGCTTTTAGCCAGAAGACTTCCCCGATTTCCCTCCTAAAAAGACTTTCTTCAACAAATCTAAGAACTTTTTGTAGAAGCGAGTCCTCAAAATCAATAATTACTTTACAAAGCTATTTGACAAATTTCCCTAAAAAGTTCCATACACCAATGCAATAATTGATCTATGCCAGCCCTTCAAATTAAATGTGGCTGTTATAGGTAAGAAAAACAGTGGCAAGAGTAGTCTAATACAAGGTTTCGTGAATGTCCTAGTTGACTATCAAAAGAATAAGGAATATTTCTAAAGAAGATAAGTATTTGGATAAGAACCATTATCATAAAATAGTAACTCTGGATAGAAGCAAAATATCAATAAGTTGTAAGAATTGATTAACTAGTCAAGCTAGTAAACTAATATCAGCACAATGGATCATAACGAATCTAGTTTTTAGAAGAGTAAATCTGATATTCATCAGCCAAAGCAAACATTAACCTCAGTTATGGCAAAGTAAAGGACGGAAACTAGAAATATTGATATAGACAATAACATAGAAGTTGAATCTCAAGGTACATAAAGGACTAAAATCTCAAGGATGGGAGAGGAGAGATAACCCAGAGGTTAATCAAGGGATTAATAGAGAGTTGCAAAATTAGTATTTAAAAGAAAAGACAGAGAGCGATCAGCTGACAATGGTGATACTTTCAGCATAGGGAGCAAGCCTAGTACATTAAAGAACGGTCACGGAGGTGATAAGAAGAAATTAGAATAATACTTTCCTTTGGATGTGCCATTTAAAGTAGCCAAGTGCAGAAATTCCCTCTTTAGACTAGACATTCAGGAGTATTAAATAGAAGAGGCAGACTTGAGATCCTTGTTGACTCATTTACTATCCAGTGAGGAAAAGAACACGATAATTTTTACCTTTTCTTTATCAAGCCCAAGTAGCTTTAAAATATACTTGAAAAAAGCTTTAAAGGAGTTGATTTTCGCTTTTGAAGATCTTAATGATGGAGCTAAGGAACGTCGAATGATTCCATTTATGATCCTAGGCATGAAGAGAGATCTAGAGAGCAAAGTTAAAGTAAGTAAGGAAGATGTTCACAGTTTGATGGAAGTCTTGAAAAAGCATGTTAACTGTGAGGTACTTTACACAGCTGCCTAAAATTAGGACGACATATTGAGTGCGCTTCATTAACTGTTTAACTTGGCTGATGATATGTTCCTGCATCAAATGAAAAATAGAGACAATTTTGGTAAATAGAAGTGAAGAATAAGTGAATCTCTGGATCAATTAGAGCTGTTTATATATGACTTATTGTTTATTTGCTAAAGCTATTTATATGAAAGAAATATTAATTTAAATATTATTAAGTGTGCTTAAGAAATTTATAATTTAAAAATGGATCTCGAACAAAATAAATCAAGGTTTTCGTTCCCTGCAGAAATCTTGCCTTAGAATCCAAGAACTTAGGAGATCATGGCTTAAAGAGAAGCCAAGGAGAACCAAAAGCGTGCTGAGGAGGAAGAGGTATGATTCATACAAATTATATCCCATTTCCTATTGGCATTTTAATTTGATATTATAACTGCTTTATTTTATGAATTTCATTGATCTAACAAAGCTAATGCCTATAGATGAAACTTCTTAAAGAAAAAGAGGAAAGAGATAGAAGAAAGAAGTAGAAGGACAAGTAACTTGAACTTGAAAAGAAAGAAAAGATGGCTAAAGATTAGGCTCAGAAGAGAAAGGAAGAGGAGGAATAAATGAACAAACTTGAGGGTAGAATGCTTATCATGCTAAAAAACCTCTAAAATAATAATACACCCAAGGAATATACAGTAGCTGGTTTGAATCTTGGACCTGCTAGATGTCGTATCATGGCATAAAATATTGCCTTCAATCAAACACTGACAGCTCTACATCTTGCCAGAAAGAAGGTAAATAAATGGATAATTAATTGAACATTAGATTATGGACCCTGAAGGAGTTGTTTTGGCTTAAATGCTAGTCTCAAATAAAACTTTGAGAAAACTTGAACTAGAGGGTAACTTGCTTGGCCCAAACAGTGCCAGAGCTTTTGGTAAAAGTTTAAAAAAGAATACTACTTTAAAAGTTCTTGATCTCGAGAGCAATCAATTAACATAAGAAGGCCAAGATTTCTAAGGCATATATGATTTCTCTAAAGTAATTAAACAACATTAAACTGATATTATTGCAGTGTCTCTTTAAGAACAGGCATCTCTTGAGTTTAAACTTAGGAAATAACAGTATGGATGAGAAGTGCGGTGCTAAGTTTAAGGAAGCCACAGATATCAATGATACCTTAATTGATTTTGAATTCGGCTTTAATGGCTTTAGTCTTCAAGACGTAAGTCTTAACCTGATAAATTCCTTTGAGCTTCACCAGACTATGAAATTCTTAACTCTTTATTTAGATCAGAGCAATCCAAGACAATTTGAAGAGAAACAAGAGAAAGTATGACGAGGAGCGTCTTAGAGAATGGAGAGAACGTAAACTTATGTACGATGAGGATGTGAGACTTAAGAATCTCTATCTTGAGGAGCAGTCTAGAAAAGAGCAAGAAAGAATGGAAGAAGAGACGAGAGAACTTAGAGAGCAAGAACTCGACGAGGAATGGAGAAAGTATCTCTTAGATAGCGAGATAGAAAAGTAGCAACTTATATAACAGTTAGAAGAGGCTGCTAAGATCAGAGCAGAAAAAGGAAAAGGCAGAAGAAGAGGTATGGGAGGCAAAAAGAAGAAGAAGTGATTGCGTAATGCTCAAGCATTCATTAATGGAGATAGTTTTATAATTTCTTCACAAGAATTGGTAGCTAATATAATGGCTCATTAATCTTTAAATATCTCATCAATTATCAACTCAGTGATATTCGATTCAACTCTTTGGGGTTTTGGGGTTTTGGGGTTTTGGGG